GTATGTTGCCTGATACGCCTGAAATACATAGCATCCCTCCACACGCTACAATGAGGAGGAATCCCCAGAATCCCATGCCTCCCCATTCTTTCAGGAAGCTGAAGGTAGCTCTCATAGTCTCAAGCCATTGTTGTAAGGAGGCAATCTCGACCCGTGTGTTGTTCACAGCAATCACAGCCCGCCGCAGCTCATTTATCTTCTTGTCGAATTCTGCACTCCAATTTCCTTTCAGCATCGCTCCAATCTCTCAAGATAGATTACCTGCTCGGGAAAAATTCTGAAACTCTACAGAAGTTATACAAAGCCCAGACATGTGCTGAATGCAGGGAACAAATATCATCTGCCCCAGGATATCCACTTGTTATTGTAACAAATCTACTCTCTGATTGACCATCATAATTCCATCCTTAAGCTGGGCATTAATATTTTCCTAAAGAGCAAGGGCATCAGCAGTATTAGAGGAGAGATGATTCAGTGTTGCTGCTGTGTTTACAGAGGTTGCTAGTGCCGCCACGGCAACCGCTGTGGCTGCAGCAGAAGCCGCTATGGCAGCTATGATGGCAGCTGTAATGCCAAAATCTCTCTTAGGCCTCAGCAGCACTGAGAGGTCCGTATCCTGTACACGGACAGGCATAGGTACCATGGTGGGCATCCTTAATACCACTGCCCATTTAGAGTGGCATTATAAATGGACTCATAGGGGACTGTAGGTAAGGCCATAGTGGAGTTGGTGGTATAAAACCGAGGCAATACCCCGGCATCATGTGTTATTAGCAGAGGTAGCGGGAACGTCTTTACGAGACCCCACAGGACTCGTTCTTCTGCACTCACCTTCTGGGTTAGCTGACTCACCAGCATCATGAACATCAGCATCAGCACTTGTTGCTTCCTTTGGCTGGTCATGCAGAGGTCGGGTAAGCCGTTCTGGCACCCAAATGGGCACATCATAGTCCTTTGGGAACACACAAACAGCCCCTCGCGTCCAAGTGAGGACAGGGGAGGGTCCCCTCCAAGTCCCAGAGAAGACATCCTTCCACATGACCGATACCCTAGGCTGGGAGCTGGGGTCAGTATGGCGAGCAGCTGCAGAGCGACCCTCAGTGTCTAAGTCCAAAAAATTTTTTGTAAAAAGAATGATGTTTAATTTATCCTTAGGGGATCTGAAGTCCTTCCCTATTCCCCCTTTTTGTTTTATAAGAGCTTGCTTGATACTAGAATTTGCACACTCCACGATTCCTTGACCTTGGGGGTTATAGGGCAGTCCATGAGTTAATTTTATGCCCATCGTTTTACAGAAAGAAGTAAAGCGGGTTGAAGTATATGCGGGGCTGTTATCTGTTTTAATTTGTTGGGGAAGCCCCCAGGCTGCAAATGCCTGGAAGCAATGTGATATAACATGTTGAGCCTTTTCACCTGTCTGCACTGTGGCATAGATAATGCTAGAGCAAGTGTCTACAGAGACATGTACATACTTAAGGGTGCCAAAGTCGGATATATGAGTGACATCCATTTGCCACAATGCCAGGGGCCTAAGGCCTCTGGGATTAACGCCCACAGAGTGCTGGGGAAGGAGAGTTAAGCAGTGTTTACAGCTTAAAACAATATCACGGGCCTGATCCCTAGTAATCTGAAACCTATATTTTAATGTTTTAGCATTGACATGAAATTTAGCATGGAATTCCTTGGCTAATTGTACTGCATCAGCAGAGAGAAAGGCAAAAATGGCTTTGGTATACTTATCTGCAATAGAATTACCCTG